GTGTGTGTAGTTATTGAAATTGGATATTTAAAAAAGGAATTTAAACGAACCTGCAGATTTGGCAAGAGAGTTCCAAACGCCATCGCCGTGGTTGGCGATATAGTTGATAAGAATGAGATCTTCCTCCATGGTCCATGGTCCTTTTCTCACCTCTGCTTCTCCCGATGATCCCGAGCCACCACTACTTCCTCCTCTTTTCTCCATTTTTATTATTCTTAATTTATATATAGACACGATTTAGTTGATTTTTGAATATTTTTAGCTAGAGAGAGGAATATAAAAAAAAAGTGAGAGAGAGTAAGAGAGAAGGTTGTGGTGAGTTGATATTGAGGGTTGTGGAAGGTGAGCTACTGCTTTTATAGAGACTAAATTCACCGCGTGATAAGCAATGCTTAATCCAAATTCTTAATTAATTATGTATTACCATTAAGCTTAATTAATTCTTAGTAGTATTTGTTTTCATTCTAATTATACTACTAATTACACATGCATGGGGATTGGGGACTATATGTGTATATATGCACACCTTCAAGACCTAACAATGTATAATAAGTTAATAACACGATTTCATCCATTCATGCCCATTAGTCCATATGTATATATATAGTATATGTAAACAAAATGAAGAGAGTCTTTGATGCGTTCATGCAAGGCCGACCCTAAGGATGTATAAGGAGTGCATTTGCACAGAACTCTTTATAAAAAAGAAAATTTAGAAGATCTTTTTTTTAAAAGGCCCAATTTTATTTTTTATATTTGTATAGACAATTAAGACCCAAATTTTTTTTGCCCTGCGCTCTTTCAAACTTTGGACCGGGGGTGCATTCATGGATTACCATATATTTTCATATGCATATTACAAAAGCGTGTTTGTTAATGGGTATTTATGTATAATCCTCGTACCAACCATTTAACCATGTTTATAAAAAAAAAAAAAAACCATTTAACCATGGATGATGAAGTTATATTTGATTATTTGTACGTCTTATACTTAACGCTATTCCATTATATAAATTGAAAATTCAATGATCAAGCACACCAATGAGAAGATTCAGGCATGTATTATATTGTCTTATTAGTTTTCTTTTAAACAATTGTTTATGAATTAGTATAAATAGAGAGAGAGAGAGAGTCTAAGAAACTGTACATTTGTGAAATAATTAAATATCACCGATTTATTTTCCAAATTGTTAAATAAATCTTATGTATATGTTTAATTAGTTTTCTAATTTTATATGTAGTGTGATTTGGTTCAACTATATATAGAGTTAAACCAATTAAGTTGAATATTAAGTGTTATACAGCTTGATTTCTCGATTAGTTTCCGGCTTAAAAGGATACTAACTCTTCATGAATAGACTGCATGCCGTCCATTTTATACTTTTACTGTATATGTCAATATATTCACTCCCGTCGCTCCCACGGACAAGCCTCGACGTTCTAATTTTTCAATATAAGACTCTTTGTCGTTCTCTAGTCAACATCAAGGTCGTCCACACAAATCGTTGACCAACAAATATTTGATCTGGTAATTAAATTGCTAGAATAAATTCGCTATGTACTTCTATACAACGATCGTTATATACTTTTGTAGAGCATCTTTCATATAGAAATAAATAACCATAAAAAAATCATAATTTACAAACTAGCCAAAATGGTCTTATGTGGCAAAATCTCAGCCCCTTATTAGATTAAGGGATTTTGGCTAGTTTATAAGTTATAATTTTTTTTTTTGTTATTACACAAATTGACTCTTACCTTTAAGGCTTTAATTGGTAATGACGCTAATCAACTTAATTAAGTATAGGTAATTGAACTGAACATATACTCTATTAGTAAACAAATTAAGAACAGGACAGAGAAAGTACGAAGATGGAGACACACGAAGATCTTGACTCTCTAAAAGTTAACTCACTCTAATCCCTAACTAAATTAAAATCCACTTACCTTTTTTTTTTTGTTTAAAAATCCACTTATCTTAGAAGTGAGAAGTGACAAATTCCTAACTTAACATCCAAATTAATCAAGAGAAAGACCCTTCACACTTCAATTTGCAAACACTTGCTTTTGTTGCCACATCCATGCTCTTTTTGTTGGCGACAACCTGCGTTTATCTAGATTTTAAGAAAGTTGTGATTAGATGATTTCATAAAAAAAAAGTTGTGATTAGACGGACTTTGACGTAACCTATATGAATAGCTGCCCACATATTATTTTAGCCTTCGATTGTCTCAAATACAGTTAGGAAATACACAATTTACACTTTCAAATAATAAAACATCCATAATTTTCCATTAAATAATTTTAAACGAAAAGTTCTCTGCGCTTGTTTTTTCAATTAAAGTTTTTCTTAAGATGCTTAGATTGTGGATTCATTTGGAAACAAAAAAAAAACAAGATATACGCAAACAAACGATCAAAGTTTTAGCAATGTAAATACAACACTTCCGCATGATTTTTACTGTAAATAAAAGTTTTAATATGATATGAAATTTTCTTTTGTTTCTTTTGTTCGCGTTCGCCCTAGTTTCTTTTTTTACTGTAGATAAAAGTTTCAAATTAATGGATGAAACAGTTTGATACCAACATACAAGTAAATTTGGTTTAAACCAAATAAAAAAAATTGAATGACCCGTTTGGGTAATTCAAACCCAAAGTCAGGGTATCCGATCCGTATACTAATCCTAATTGAAGCTTAGTGATTTTTCGACCTAGCTACACTATTACATTACATATTTACAAAAAAAAAACAAAAAGATTATTATATGCAAGGTCGGTTCGAAAATTTTGGAGGCCCAAAGCAAAAACTAATAAAAATTTAGGTTTTGTGCTTGTTTTTTAAAAGACAAGACTAAAACATAAAAATTTTAAAATACGGGGCATTTTTGTAAAAGAAAAAAATATTAGGGGCCATTCGTTGAAACTGATAAAATATTTTTTTCTAGGGGCCCAAAATCCATGCCTCCCTGGCTTCCCCTCATGTCCGGTGACATAGCGGAAGCTGGATAGATGCAAGGATCTTATTTAGTCTGAGAATACCTAAGATCAATGCCTTCCTGGATTCGTTGAGATCTCYCTRGATCTRYCGAAAMYARGGKTTMGAGAATACTCTTCTCTGAAAAGCTAAAAGCTCTTTAATGTTATTAATCAATCAACTGAATACAAAAGGAGGCCTCTAGGGCTTATTTATAAAAAATCCTAAAAACTCTAAGAAATCTCTGGAATATTCTAGAAACTCTAAGAGATAAACACTA